AGTATGGTGGTTAAGTTGCCACTAGGGGCTGCGTCCCATATCTGAGTGCCTGGGATCAAGGCCTGGCTCTACTTTTGTTTTTTAAGACTTTTTCAAAAAATGTATTTATTTGAGAGTTACAGAGAGGCAGAAGCAGAGGCAGAGGCAGAGGCACAGAGAGAGAGAGAGAGAGAGAGAGAGAGAGAGAGAGGTCTTCCATCTGCTGGTTCACTCCCAGATGGCTACAACGGCCAGACCTGGGCCAATCTGAAGCCAGGAGCCAGGAGCCAGGAGCTTCTTCTGGGTCTCCCACGTGAATACAGGGACCCAAGGACTTGGAGCATCTTATACTGCTTTCCCAGGCCATAGCAGAGAGCTGGATCACAAGTGGAGCAGCCTGGTCTCGAACCAGCACCCATACAGAATGCCAGCACTGCAGAAAGCAGATTTATCCACTACTCCACAAGCTGGCTCCACTTTTGAGTCCAGCTTCCTATTAATGCCAACCATGTGGGAGGCCTGCATTGAGTTCTGGGTTCCTGGCTTCAGTCTGGCCCAGCATGCCTGTCGTGGGCATTTAGGGAGTGAACCAATGGATGGGACATCTCTGTCTGCCTTTCATAGAGCATGAATATAAATTTTTTACAAAAGTAAAGCCAAAGTAGAGACATTTTCATCTTTGATTGCCCCAAGTACAAGGGGTTAGTTAGAATTCAGGGGAAGCATTAAGATGGCTGGATAGAGTCAGTGAGGACACAAAGTGGCTTTGGGAAGAATTTCAAAACTATAAAATACTGGCAGTTTTAGGTTTTGGTGGTAGTGGTGGGCAGTAACATATTGCTTCCCATATACATTTCTTTGTGTCACGGGCAATGTCAAAATCATATTTCTCCCAGTGAGACAAAGAGAAGTTACAGACATGTAATTTTGTAAAAAAAAAAAAAAAAAAAACAAAACAAAAACCCAATGCCTATGAAAAGAAGCCCACCACTAGCACGTTTTCATAACAATTCCGTGGGTGCCAGATGTTGCTGTGGATCCATTCTGAGAGGAGGATGGTGGTGGGGGCAAGAGGCGTGGAGTCACCACACAGACCCCAGGTGTGGGTGAAAGCAGGCCAGAGGCAAACAGCTGGAAGACTCATTTATTTCAGTTGGTACAGCAGCGTATAGAGCCAAGGCAGCCAATCTGGTCAAGGGGTGGTCTATGCTCTAACCAATCACAGCCTGTTGCCAGGCAGTTTCCAAAGCCATCCAATCACAGCGTGTTGCCAGGCAGTTTCCGTTGCCTGTGGCCATCTTGGCATGGCCTTCTCATTCCACCACAAATTCCATCACAGAATATTATGCCATTGGAATTCTTTTTGAGCTATAAATATCATAGATCTTACCCTTTTCAAGTGTGCAAGTGATTTTTAGTATATTTATAAGGTTTGTACATCCAGCATCGCATATTCCAGAATACCTACGAAAACAACAACAAAAACAAAACCCGAGGCCGTGAGTTGTCTCCCCAGCCTCCCTTGAGCCCAGCAGAGTCATGTTCTCATGTGTGAACCTGAGGAAGAATTAAATCAGGCTGATAACAAAGCCATTGCCTTACATACTCATTTGTGGTGAGAACATTTACGATCTACTTTTAGCAATTCTGATGAAAGTCACCATTCCATGTGATCTATTGATCACTAAAGGCTGCTTCTTCCTTTCACCTGAAACTTTGGATGCTCTGATCAACATCTTGCCTCTCTCCATCCAGTGTTCTGCCAAGCTTCTCATGACTACCACTTTGTTTTTTTGTTTTTTTGTTTTTGTTTGTTTTTTGTTTTTTTGTAAAGATTATTTATTTGAAAGGCAGAATGACAGAGAGGGAGAGACAGGGAGAGATCTTCCATCCACTGATTTACATCCCATACAGCTGCAATTGCTGGGGCTGGTCCAGGCTGTAATCAGGAGCCTAGAATCTCATCTAGGCCTCTCATGTTGGTAGCAGGGACCCAAGCAGTTAGGCCACCCTCCACTGCTTCCCCAGGTGCATCAGCAGGAAGCTGGATCAGAACTGGAGCAGCTGGGACTCAGATCAGCCTCTGATACGGGAAGCCGCTTAGCCCACTGTGTCATTACTCTGGCCCCTGCTGACGGCCACCCTGCTCTCAAATTCTGAGTTGGTATTTCTTAGATTCTACACGTAAGTGGGATGTGGTATGTATTTGTCTCTCTGTGCCTGATTTCCCTTAGCATATGCCCTTCAAGTTCACCCCTGGGTTACAAAGAACAAGGGTTTGGGAATACAGCTGACTCAGAGGTCATTAGGACATAAATAGTGAAGTTCATGTGCTACAGTGAAGTTCATGTGCTGGGTGTGGAAGAAACCATTCAGGAAAGCAACAGGTATAGAAAAGGAGAAAGGCAGGACTAAGCGAACTGGGAAACACCAGTGGTGGTTGGTACAAAGAGGAGGCAGTTACAGAACTATAGAAGGGGGGTTAATGTTGTGGCACAGCAGGTTAAGGCACCACGCTGCATCCCATACTGCAGTGCCCAATTGGAGACCTGGCTACACTCCTTCTGGTCCAGCTCCCTGCCTCTGATAATGGCTCAAGTGATTGAGTTCCTGCTACCCATCTTGGATGGAGCTCCTGGCTCCTGGCTTTATGCTGGCCCAGCCCCAGCTGTTGTAGGCATCTGGGGAGTGAACCAATGGACGGAAGATCTCTCCTATCTGTCTGCATTCAAATCAATAAATAAAGAAAAAAGAACAAGAGAATGGAGTGGTATGGGAGGCAAGAAGAAGGCAAAAGAGAAATTCCAAGCAGTGGCTAAGGCCAGGAGAAATGGAGAAAAAGGAAAGATCTCCGTTTCTTGCATGGTGGCTGTGAGGAGGTCATTCATTATCTTTTTTTTTTTGGACATGGCAGAGTTAGAGAGTGAGAGAGAGAGAGAGTGAGAAAGGTCTTCTTTTTCTGTTGGTTCACTCCCCAAATGGCTGCTCCAGCTGGCGCTGCGCCGATCCAAAGCCAGGAGCCAGGTGCTTCCTCCTGCTTCCCATGCGGGTGCCGGGCCCAAGCATTTGGGCCATCCTCCACTGCCTTCCCAGGCCACAGCAGAGAGCTGGACCGGAAGAGGAGCAACCGGAACAGAATCCAGCGCTCCAACCTGGGACTAGAACCTGGTGTACCGGTGCATTCATTATCTTCATAAGGACAGCTTCAGTGGCCTGCAGGATTTGGCTGAAGCAGACTGCAATTTGCTAAGGAATGAATGGGAGGTGAGGTCACACAGCAGCGCTGGTATTTCAAGAAGTTTTTCTCTAGAAAGACAAAAATAAGCTGGTAAGTCATAGCTGTGGGGGCTGTGAGGAAGAACTTTCTTTTTTTTGTACAGACGAGAGAGGAGAATGTTAATGTGATGGAGAGGAAGGAGGAAGCTGATGATTCTGGAAAGATGAGATAATGACTGGAACAGGTGAGAGGAGACCGAGGAAGCTAACTGGAGAGTGAGAAAGGCAGGAAGAAGACTGACATGTGTGAAGTTACAGGTTACTCTGCATGGGGGGCAGTGAGAGTAAAACTTGAGGGAATGCTGAACTCTTATTTGTTAGGTTAAATAGAGTTATGGCTGTACAGAGTCTAGCAAGAGAGAAACATACACATACATAAAGGTGTTTCTGCGTTAAATCACAGAAGGCCAATGTTTTGGATTAAGGTCCCCACGCAGGGTCCCGAGACACCAGATCAAAACAGGGTCACTCATACTAAACTTCATCATCACCAAACTGAAACTGGTCTTCTAAGAAACCAGGAGGGGGATGAAAACCCAAACAGGCCAATTTCAATTGGCATCATAATGAAGTCCCTTACAGAAAGGGAACCTAAGGGCCAGCACTGTGGCGTAGTGGGTAAAGGCTTGCAGTGCTGGCATCCCATATGGGCACTTGGTGAGTCCCGGCTGCTCCGGCTCCGATCAAGCTCCCTGTTATGGCCTGGGAAAGCAGTGGAGGATGGCCCACGTGGGAGACCCACAAAAAGCTCCTGGCTCCTGATTGGCACAGCTCTGGCCATTGTGAGCCAGGAGCCAGGAGCTTCTTCCGGGTCTCCCAAGTGGTGCAGGGGCCCAAGGACCTGGGCCATCTTCTACTGCTATCCCAGGCCATAGCAGAGAGCTGATCGGAGGTGGAGCAGCTGGGTCTCGAACCGGAGCCCACATGGGATGCTCACACCATAGGCGGCAGCTTTACCCACCATGCCACAGTACCGGTCCCCCACGGCCCCCCAGGGTGTTTTTTGTTTCTGCTTTCTTCAGCTCTTCTCTATTTATTTATTTATTTTTTGGACAGGCAGAGTTAGACAGTGAGAGAGACAGAGAGAGAGTTATAGACAGTGAGAGGGACAGAGAGAAAGGTCTTCCTTCTGTTGGTTCACTCTCCTAATGGCCACCACGGCCGGCGTGATCCAAAGCCAGGAGCCGGGTGCTTCCTCCAGGTCTCCCATGCAGGCGCAGGGACCCAAGCACTTGGGCCATCCTCCACTGCCTTCTCGGGCCACGGCAGAGAGTTGGACTGGAAGAGGAGCAGCTGGGACAGAATCTGATTCCCCAACTGGGACTAGAACCTGGGGTGCTGGCGCCGCAGGCAGAGGATTAGCCTAGCTGGCCAGCTCTTCTCTGTCTATAAAACTGAAATCAAGTCCTTGTGGTACTCACCGAAGTTGTGAGTTCACTTCCTGGTGAGTACTAAGAAATGTGCCAGGGGGCCGGCGCCGTGGCTCACTTGGTTAATCCTCAGCCTGCGGCACCGGCATCCCATATGGGCGCCAGGTTCTAGCCCCGGTTGCCCCTCTTCCAGTCCAACTCTCTGCTGTGGCCAGGGAGTGCAGTGGAGGATGGCCCAGATGCTTGGGCCCTGCACCCGCATGAGAGACCAGGAGGAAGCACCTGGCTCCTGGCTTCGGATTGGTGCAGCGCCGGCCGTGGAGACCATTTGGGGGGTGAAGCAACAGAAAAAGAAGACGTCTCTCTCTGTCTGTCTCAAAAAAAAAAAAAAAAAAAAAAAAAAAAAAAAAAAAAGAAAGAAAGAAAGAAAGAAAGAAAGAAAAGAAAAAGGAAATGTGCCAGAGAAGCTGTCTCACAAAGTAATGTATTTGCAGCAAATCAAGAGAGCACAAGGATTCATTCCCAAAGCCCTGACTCCAAGAGCAGGGGTAAATGTGCATCTTTTCTTTTTAGGGGAAATCAATCTATCAGAGGGAAAGTTCCCGCCATCACATGTAAGGGCAGGCACAAGCTCGTGCTGGCCCAGTTTAGAACATGTTCCTGGCCAGCGCCGTGGCTCACTAGGCTAATCCTCCGCCTGTGGCGCCAGCACCCCGGTTGCTCCTCTTCCAGTCCAGCTCTCTGCTGTGGCCCCAGAGTGCAGTGGAGGATGGCCCAAGTGCTTGGGCCCGGCACCTGCATAGGAGACCAGGAGGAAGCACCTGGCTCCTGGCTTCAGATAGGCGCAGCGCGCTGGCCATGGCGGCCATTTGGGGGGTGAACCAAGGGAAAGAAGGCCTTTCTCTCTGTCTCTGTCTAACTCTGCCTGTAAAAAAAAAAAAAAAAAAAAAAAAAAAAAAAAAAAAAAACACGTTCTCACACAGGTTACACGTGATGGTAAGAAGGCTTAAGGCGCCAGCGCTGTGGTGTAGCGAGTAGAGCCGTTGCCTGCAGCGCCAGCATCCCATATGGGCGCTGGTTCAAGTCCTGGCTGCTCTACTTCCGATCCAGCTCTCTGCTGTGGCCTGGGAAAGCAGTAGAAGATAGCCCAAGTGCTTGGGCCCCTGCACCTGCTCCTGGCTTCGGATTGGCCCGGTTCCAGCTGTTGCAGCCATCTGGGAAGTGCACCATCAGATGGACGACCTCTCTCTCTCTCTGCCTCTGCCTCTCTGCAACTCTGCCTTTCAAATAAATAAATAAATCTTAAAAAAAAAAAAAAAGGCTTTAGCTCCTCCTGGAGCAGATACCTTCGTAATTTTTAAAAAGATTTATTTATACGAAAGGTAGAGTTAAAGAGTTAGAGAGAGAGAGAGAGACAGAAAGATCTTCCATCTGCTGGTTCACTACTCAAATAGCCAAAACAGCCGGGGTCAGGTCAAAGCCAGGAGCCTGGAATTACATCTGGATCTCCCACGTGGGTGGCAGGGGGTCAAGTACCCAGGCCATCTGCTGCTGCTTTTCCAGGCAGATTATCAAGGAGCTGGATTGGAAGTCGAACAGCTGGGCCCCAAACCAGGGTTCATATGAAATGCCAGTGTCACATATCTGCATATGAAAATGAAGTGTCACCTATCTTAGAATTAAAATGAAGCACTGGAGCCAGTGTTGTGGAGTAGCAAGCTAGGCTGCAGCCTGCATCCCATATCAGAGTGCTCCCCTCTAGAGCACCTGGGAAAGAGGAAAAAGGCCCAATGCTTGGGCTTCTGCCACCCTTGTGGAAACCCTGGATGGAGTTCCAGGCTCCAGGCTGCCGCCTGGCTCTGCTCCAACCCTTGTTGCCATCTGGGGAGTGAACCAGCACATGAAAGAGCTCTCTCTTTCTCTCACTCTGCCTTTCAAATAAATCTTTATCAGAAATAAAAGGAGGGGCCAGCATTGTGGCACAGAGTGTATAGCTGCTACCTGCGACGCCAGCATCCCATATGGACACTGGTTCTTGTCCTGGTTGTTCCACTTCCGATCCATCTCCCTGCTAATGGCCTGGAGAAAGCAGTGGAAGATGGCCCAAGCCCTTGAGCCCCTGCCAGCCACGTGGGAGACCCGGAGGAAGCTGCTGGCTTTGGCTTGACCCAACCCTGGCCATGGCAGCCATCTGGGGAGTGAACCAGCAGATAGAAGAATTCTCTCTTTCAAATAAACAAATAAATCTTCAAAAGAACAACAACAAAAAATTCAGTGGTGATCACTTTAAAAAAAATAAACAGATTAAGCCAAAGGTGACCTTTGGATGCTTCCTGGGCCGTCTGCACAGGTAACTGCCCTTGTAGTAGGGTGTGGACCCGTCCAGCATGGGCCGGGATTGTACCTCTCCCTGGAATATGAGTAAAAACCTCAAAGACAGCTTTGGAGAACATCAGGCGCTTTTAGGGTCTTTGAAATAGAGATGAGTCACTATACAGACTTTTGAGCTGCTTGGGGGCACCGTTAGCCAGGGACGACCTGGCCCCGGGCCAGCTGTTTCGCGGGCAGATCTCCAGGGCGGTGGACTGCTCCTGAGTTGGGAGGCGCCCAGTCTGTCATCACAAAAACCGGCCTCTCCAGTGTAGTGATCCGATCGGATCGGAGTGTAGGATCATCCGATCCTGACCACAAAAAAAGCCACTCGCGATCTTTACGTAACGGGTCGCTGAACCCAGTGTCCGGGCCGGTGTCACCTCAGACATGCAACAAACACAAGACGACAGCACACGGTGGCCTCGGGCTCTGCAGGAGGGGAGCGCTGACCCGCCGCTGACAGCACCCAGGCCCCGATCCGCGGACGACCCCCGCCCCGCACACAACCTGTAGGACCCCAAAAGCGGTGTCCTCTTGTGACGACCCCAGAAACACAGATTCCGGACCAGACGATGCAATAGAACAGGAGGTAATTTATTTCATTTGTACAAATGGGCCCTCTACTGCTGCAAGCAGCAAGCAAGCGAGAGGAGCCCCGAGCAGCTATCTCACACAGCTTTTAAAGGGCAAAACCACAAAATTAACATATTATAGGCTGGCGTAAGTTCATTGGATAATTTTCAGTAGCGGGCCTTGTATGGCAGTCTAAAAGTGGTAATGTCGGTGGAAAAGTACTAGGTCAAAGGGATACATTAGGGGAGGGGGTCTCTAGGAGAGAGGAATAGGTTGCTACGTGCCTTGCAGCTTTCTTTGTTAACCTTGAGCAAGCGTAGGGAAGGGGCTTATCTACAAGGCAGGTGTTCTGTGTATCTCTGGTTAGTAGCTGACTGCTTTCTCTGTGAACCGGTTTACTCCCCATTTCCCAAGGCCGTCTCTGGAACGGTTTGTCTCAGGAGCCCCATTTTTTTTATGGTGGCTCTTGGCTCCTTTCATTCCCCCATTTTCTCTTTGAACTAATTTTAATCCTAAAATTGTGTGCCGTTAATGAGGGGTTTTAATACGGTCACTGGTGGCCAGGGCTTGATACTGTTGCGTGAGGACTAATGCCAATGATCAGCAAGCCAGGCCTTAGCATGTGGGCCCATGGCCAGCCATGGGTCCCCACATTTTCCCCTTTTTTTATTAAATTGAGAATGGCCTCTGTCTTAGGTTGCCCTCAGTCATCTCTGTCCTTACCCGTCATCGGTAACTCTGGCAGCTTGGCCTAGAGTCCTGTCTTAGGTTGGTACAGGATGCTGAGCGTCTTACCCGTCTTTGAGTACCATTCCAGCCCAACATTAGGTGAGAGATGAAACATACAGCCAAATATCAATTATTTTGATTACAAAGGAGGTTTGGTACGAAGTTTTAAATGATGAATCTCAGTCCATTTATACTATAGGGAAGTCAGCATAAAATGCAGAACACACGGAAGACATCCCATACAAAGTGGGAAAAGCAGTAGCAGTCCAGCCAACATTAATAACCAATGACTCCATTGAAACCCTTTAAATGAATAGTGGGTTAGTAATAAACATATGTTGCATTTTACTCTTAAGTTTATCAATAACAGACTCTGTATATGGCACATTGTTAGTAATGTTAAAGCAATATCCCCCAGGTGCAGGTTTACAACTTAAATGATCTTTTTAACAGCAAGTAATTGTTAGCTGCATGGCTTAAAAGCACTCCTGAGTGAACTTGATTCAATTCTTTGGCTATATTGGATAGCACAGTAGCAGTAAGATTGATTGCTTTGGTCACCAAACATGTAAGCCTTTATAGTCCACGATTATTTCCAAAAGCCAGTCCAGGAACACTTACTACTGATGCAGTCATGGTAAGGGCAGTGTCCTCTCCTATTAGGATGATTGTTATTGTAGTCTTCAGGTAAAGCACGCCACTGACGTGCTCTATCCGCTGCTGTAAATACAGATGTTAGCATCAGGGCCACACGGCCCAGGGAGCAATTGCAGAAAGGCATGTTGGTTACATGGAAAAACCCATCCCTTAGGAGCCCTTGTCCCATACCAGTACTGGATCAGGTCCATTCCATTGATTGGTGATAGGATCCCTCCATTTCACCACTGCTCTTTTTACAGCTGTTTTTAAGCAGTTAGAATTTAACAGAGACATCAAGAGAACATAATAGATTACTTTAACTCATTGCTTTAACAGAGGATCAGATTTTGATTTTATGTCAAAGAAAATAACCAAAGATTTCTTTTTCCCATAACATTTTGCGACTTTTTCACACCTTCTGTAACTTGCTCAAACCTTTCTCTTTTCTCCCCCCCCCTTTTTTTCATTCCAGTATAAACCAGCCATTAAGATAAACAATTTTTACAAATCATATTTTTTTTAAAAGTATCTCTTTTTTTTAATTTTCCTTATCAAGAACACGCTTTTATGTTTGTGACCTTTTACATTAAAATGATGGTATCTGGGACTGTAGCAGTCAATGGGAGAGTAACTTTGTTTAATTCCCTGTAATCCACAGTCATTTTTCAGGTTTCATCTGATTTCTTAACATGCCAAATTAGATAATTCCTTTTAGTGATTATGGGAATCATCACTCCAGCACTAAGATAATTTTTTTTACTGTTTTAGATATTTCCTTATATCCACCTGGAATTCTGTATTGTTTACACTGAATAACCTTAGTTGGCCCTGGCAGCAGTACAGGAGCTTGATATAATTTTTTTACCACTATCTAGCAGTTTGACTCCAAAGGGCAGCATTTTTTTTTCCCAATTTACATTTATCCTGTACTTATTTTTCTAATTGCTTACACATGCATCAGTATGCAGATAACAAAATCCATTCTCACCTCCCCAAAGCCTATAGTTCATCCCCCTTTTCCACCGGCACTGATAGCAAAACCTCAATAACTTGTGGAGGCTGTGCACTCTGTAACTTGCCATCCCAATTCTCACTCGATTCTGAGCAGAGAGCCCATTCCTTCACCAAAGAGGCGAACTGAAGGTCTTTCCAGCCAGGAACATCACAGGTTACACATGCAACTTTAGTTTTTCTTTTAAAGAAAGGCATTGCTTTGCATACTTGCAGATCCTGCCAACTACGCCAATTTGTGACAGTAAATTACTTTTTAGCTGTCTGCTGTGTACAGACTTAGTTACTTTTAATCTGCAAGAAATACGCTGCAAGCCTTGTAGTGCACACTAAAATTATTTACAGGAAAGATGGTAAAGGAGCATAGATTAACAGAATGTTGCAATAAACATGGCTCCATTGCTTTAATGATACTATAGCAAGATGGTCCACTGATCCCTGTAGGGAGGGCCTGAGGCTGGCCCCGCTTCCAGTTTCCTGAACTCTGTTTTTTAATGAATTACCTTCTTTATCAGTTTTGGAGTGACACTTATTGGCCCAATGCCTTTCCCTTTAGCACTGGAAGCAAATCCCAGGAAGAGCCTTATTTTGATTTTTGACTTCTGGACAATTTTTGTACATGTCCCTGTTGCCCACATTTATAGCACCCTCATTTATCAGGCATAGCCCTCCTTGATGATTTTTGTAATGACATACCAAGCAGAGCGTCAGGTCCTGAATGTCCTGTTATTAATTCATTTTGTTAATTTTTCATTAAAGGGACTGTCACAGAACACCTCAATCACAGTAGCCAATTGATCATGTAATCATTACGGGCACATTTAACATTTAGCTTGACTGCGTGTTCCCCCAGGATGAAACAGCAGCAACAGAGGCTTGCTCCGGCTCCCCCCTAAAGCCTCCAAGGACAAGGGTGGCTCATTGCCAAGATTTTAGGCAAGCAGTGCGTCCCATCTCGGGTCTTGGCCAGAGAGCCGAGACATGAAGCATGCCCACCTGTTTATCAGAAAACATTCCTTTATCCTCCTCCCCGGGAACTGGCCAGGCTCCCAAGGAGCAGGAGAAAGTCATCCGGCAGCAAAGTTTCTTGGTTACCAGAGCCAAATCTAGGTACAAGCCTCTCCAGCCCAAAAATTTGTCCTTACATTTGGCCCTAGAGTTGCATTGAGAGGTAGACATAATTAACACATTATAAGAATACAATACACATTTTTCATATAAGTATACATCTAGCAATCAAACACAACAATAAAAACAGATGGGGGAGACAGTAAGAGATAAAAGACAACAAAAACAGTGACACACAGAACACAAATCACAAGCCGCGCGGCAACAGACCGAGACAAAACCGAAACTATCAGAAGGGAGCGGCAGTCTAGCCAGGCTCTCCCCTGGAAGAAAGGAAATTCCCTCTTTCCCTCCTTCCCAGACCACCACCGGAGCATTCTCCAGGGTTGAACCAGGGGTCTCAGGACACGTCTGAAATCACAAGCCGCGCAGCAACAGACCGAGACAAAACCAAACCCAGAATTTCAGAAGGGAGCGGCCGTTTGGCCAGGCTCTCCCTTTGAAGAAGGGAAACGCTCTCTTTCCCTCCTTCCCAGACCACCACTGGAGCGTCCTCCAGGGTTGGACCAGGGGCCTCACGACACGTCTGTCTCCCCCTTTGGTCCAGTCAGTACTGAGCCTGTACAGGCGCCCCAGGACGGATTCCACGTCGTCCTGGCAGACAAGGACAAACAGTACAAACCACAGTTACAACAATACACAAATAAGCAAACTTACCTCCGTCTGGCCGATGGAGTGTGGGAGTCTGGGGTCCCCCAAATCCTGGACGAGCCCCCATATGTAGGACCCCAAAAGCGGTGTCCTCTTGTGACGACCCCAGAAACACAGACTCCGGACCAGACGATGCAATAGAACAGGAGGTAATTTATTTCATTTGTACAAATGGGCCCTCTACTGCTGCAAGCAGCAAGCAAGCGAGAGGAGCCCCGAGCAGCTATCTCACACAGCTTTTAAAGGGCAAAACCACAAAATTAACATATTATAGGCTGGCGTAAGTTTATTGGATAATTTTCAGTAGCAGGCCTTGTATGGCAGTCTAAAAGTGGTAATGTCGGTGGAAAAGTACTAGGTCAAAGGGATACATTAGGGGAGGGGGTCTCTAGGAGAGAGGAATAGGTTGCTACGTGCCTTGCAGCTTTCTTTGTTAACCTTGAGCAAGCGTAGGGAAGGGGCTTATCTACAAGGCAGGTGTTCTGTGTATCTCTGGTTAGTAGCTGACTGCTTTCTCTGTGAACCGGTTTACTCCCCATTTCCCAAGGCCGTCTCTGGAACGGTTTGTCTCAGGAGCCCCATTTTTTTTATGGTGGCTCTTGGCTCCTTTCAAACCGAGGAAGAGGGCCAGCATCACTATACCGGTCGCTCAGAGCCCGCCCGCGTCCAGGCAGCAGCTTCCTTATTCGTATAAGCTCCCCTCAGGAAAACCGAAAATCCCTTCAGGAAAAAAAGACCTTTTAGACGAATCGGCTTGATTCTATCAGCTTGATTCGCACAATTCGTAGCTCAGAGGGAACACTTACGGCGAAGAGCCGGGACACGCCAATGCCGGAAGATGAGAGGAACCCCAGACCCGCGGCGAACGACAGCTGTCCCCAACTACCACCGGACGCGACGCCCCGAGCGCCCGGCTTCGTGCCGACGTCAACGGCTGCGCGGCTAATGGCGCGCGCATGCGCCCTCCAACAGGGGACGCTTTTTCCCGAGGGACCCGGAAGCGCGGTCCAGAGGGCGGCAGAGGAGCGAGTCGGAGCAGGGGCTTCCGGCGGAGAGAAGCTGTGATTGGTGGAGCCGAGGCGATGGGCGGGGCATCGGAGAATTCGAATGGGAGAGGCGGGACGAGGGAGGGAGTGGAATGGACGCGGGGGCCTCGGCGCAGCAGAGGCGGCGCGGGATGGCGGCGGCGACCTCAGGTACGGCAGGCCGGCCCTGGACGAGGTCGGCCACTGAAACCTGGAGCCCCGCGCGGTAACGCTTTGGAGTCGTCGTGGCTGCGCGGAGTGCCGGGGAGAAGGGACGCGGGAGTGTGCGGGTGGCGACTTGGCCGGCCCGCCCCGCTCTTTCCTGCTCTGCGCTCGGGTCAGGAGGCGGAGGCCTGGCCCCGGTCCCAGCGCTGGGTTGGAGCCCTCCGCCCTCTTCCCTTTGGAGCTTCAGTGAAATGGGGACCGGTGATCCGTTTTTGGAGATTACTGGAGTGATCGGGAGAAAGCGACTAACACCAGCCGTGGGGACAGGAAGGAGGGAGCTGGGGTCGGGCGAGGGGAAGGGCTGTGGGTGTGAGGCGGTGATTGGATGCGGGGAGGTCTCTGGCGAGGTCCAGCCCCGGCCGCGGCTGCGTGGGAGTTGACAGCTTGGGGTTCGCAGCGATCCCAGAGCAGGGGAGCAAGGGACTGTCTGGGTTCGCTCGGAGCCGTGGAAGTGAAAGCTGTTTTGGGGTTGAAAAGGCAAGTTAGGACGTTTGGAACCTTGGATGCGAGGATTCAGTGACCTGCACGTCTGCCCTGTTCCTGTAGACGGAGCCCTGGCAGTGGTCGTGGCCGGGTGGGCGCTCTACTCATTTATTTCTCAGTCCCTCGCTGTTAGGCCCCTGGGGAAACAAAGACGTGTGGGAGGATGCCTCACACCTCGTGAGCCCTTGCTTGGTGCCAGGCGCAGCTCCAGGCATTTTATGCCCATTCCTGGGCACACAGAGCCGGGAGGCCGTTGCTGTTACTGTCCCTGTTTTAGATACGAGGGAAAGAGGGGGAGACGCTACCAGTAAATGTTGGGGCCCGAATTCACCCTCAGGCACTTTGATTCTAGAAGCTCCACTCAACCTTTTATTTTTTTTAAGATTTATTTTATTTATTTGAAAGAGCCAGATATATATATATAGAGAGAGAGAGGGAGAGAGAGAGGTCTTTCATTCACTGGTTCACTTCCCAACTGGCCACAATGGCTGGAGTTGAGCTGATCTGAAGCCAGGAGCCAGGAGCTCCTTCCGGATTTCCCATGTGGGTGCAGGGGCCCAAGGACTTGGGCCATCTTCTACTGCTTTCCCAGGCCACAGCGGAAAGCCAAATTGAAAGTGGAGCAGCCAGGACTCGAACCGGTGCCCATATGGGATGCTGGCACTGTAAGCGGCAGCCTTACCTGCTACGCCACAGCGCCAGCCCCCAAAGCTCTTAACCTCTATGTCCAAGTGTATGCTATTCCTGCTTGGGCACACCCTCCCCTCCCCTCCAAGGCCCGCACACAGCAGATGTTGAAGATGCTGGGGTGACTTGTCCCTTCCCTGGAGGAGCGCACAGTCTGGTTCGGTAGTCAGTCCACAGGCACAGAGATGGCGGGATCAGCCGCTACAGAGCGTGTGGGATCTGAGGTGAGCCCTTGGGGTTCTGGGAGGACTGCATTAAGCAAGTGATGATTCCGGTGGGCTTCAAAGGTTGGATAGGAGTTTGCCAGGCCTTGGCTGGGAAGAAAAGGACGCCCAGTATTCTCTAGTTTGTGACATGAAGGGAGACCCACGATGCTGTCTTGACTGAACCTCCTCCTCAGTAACAGTAGGCTGAAGGGGACTTGGGAACCGGGGAGAGGGGCGAGTTAGGAGCAGCAGCCAAGGACAGCCTCGCGCAAGCCCAGAGTTGCTTCTGATGACGAAAGGGGTGTTCTTGTACTGGGGGCAGCTTGCGCGCCTCCCTGTCCTTCCGCGCGGGGACTGTGAGCGCGGGGGCACCAAGAACGTGAGCCTCACTCATGCTGAACGCCAGGTGATTATGCTGGTTCACTGCCCAGATCTTAGTGCAGCCGATACCCCCCAGAGTGCCTACCTGGTCCAGGCACTGGGGAACGAGAGGTGAGCAGGGTCAAGCTTGCTCTCCCAGAGTTCCCAGTTAGAGGGAGAGGACAGCACACAGGCAGTGAGGAGCGGTGCCGTGAGTGCCTGCTTGGAGGAGCCGGAGAGAGCTATGGCGGCACCTGACAGCGGGGTGGGGTAGGAATGTCTGCAAGTGCCAGGGTTGTTTTGTGGCTTCTTCTTGAAGCATAATGCTCATCGACCCCAGCGTCTTGGGGAGCCGAGTGGAAGCAGCAGCGAAGACCTCCGGGGAGACAGAATAGCAGCTATAAAGGCCCCGAGGTTGTGAGAGAACTCGGGAACTGCAGGGCATTCCTGGGCCCGCAGTGCAGGGAGGAGCGTGCAGAGAGAAGGACCGGCGAGGCGAGGAGTGAGGCTGGAGGCTGCGGAGGTGGTGATGAGCTGGGGCCAGGGCAGGGCAGTGGGGACGGAGAGGGGCGGGCTCAGCCGGGAGGTGCACTCTGGGATTGGCTGAGGGGAAGAGGGAAGGCGGAATTAAAGACTCACCTTTGGGGTCGGCAGGGAACGGAGGCGTATGATGAGATGCAGAGGTGGGGACGCGCTCAGTTGGGACAGGCAGAGTGAGGGACCTGAGCTGCCCGGCAGCAGCTCAGCAGAGAGCTCTGGTGTGAGGGCGGGGCAGCGCCACACGGCTTAGGATGGCGCCTGAAGTCCAGAGAGCAGTGACCACGCCAGTGAAGGCCATCTGGGTGTCTCCGCGGGCAGCACTTCTGTCCTGCGCCGGGCAGCTCTCTGTGTCACAGCGTGGGGCGGGCATGCTGCTGCGTCTGGGGGGTGCGTGCTCAGGAGCTGCAGCACAGACAGCCCCGCGCGCACAATGACCGCGCCGGGATGTCAGCGGCGCCGCGGTTGGGAAGCCATGGCCTAGAAAGAGGATAGAAGGAGCCCGGGAAAGAACATGAAGACGGCAGAACCTGGGGAGACACCTGGACAGGCGGGGCGCGTGGGAACTAAGGGGAAAGTCTGTCCGCCCAGAGTGTGGACCCCTGCGGTCGGGACTGAGTGTGCTACTGGGTCCGGCGGTGGGGAGTCGCTGGTGACCCTGACAGGAGGACAGGTGCAGGTTGCAAGGGCTGAGGAGTGAGGAACTGGAGGAAGGCTGCAGTACCCAGGCAGCTTCACAGGCACGGGCACTTGCTGCAAGGCTCTGCGGTAAACACTGTTTCTTCAGTGGTACTTTGAATCCATTTTATGAGGCCAGAAACTGTTATTTTTTAGAAAGAGACTGAGCTTGCAGCAGTTAAGTAAAAAGTAACCTCTCCAAGGTCATGCAGCTGCTACAGGGACTGGGTCTCTGAGTCCAGGTTCATGGGGATACAAAGACAAGGGGGCCGAGAAGGCCTTGGCCTTCGTGAGGGACTTTGGAGTTGGGCCTTCATTTGAGGCGCTCTCATTAGCTTGGCCGTGGCAAGTTAGCTGATCCCGTCATCTGGAAAATGGTGGGTGAATATTACAGTGAGCTTTTGCCAAGTCCAGGATGCTGTTCTAAGCACTTTATATGAAGCACTTTATATGAATTACCTTCATTAGTCCTCAATGAACAACCCAATAGATTCTTTTATTCCTATTTTATAGGTAAGGAAACTAAGGTAGAGTTAGAGAGATCTTCCATCCACTGGTTCACTCCCCAAATAGTGTCAACAACTAGTGCAGGGTCCAGCCAAAGCCAGGAGCCAGGAACACCATCGGGGTCTTCAGTGTTGGCGGCAGGGGCCCAAGAACTTGGGCTACATTCTGCCCCCTTCCTAGACGCATTAGCAGGGAGCTGGATGGGAAGTTGGGGACTGGAACTGGCACTCACATGGGATGTTGGCATTACAGGTGGCAGCTTGACCCACTGTGCCACACACTGGCCCCTGTATCTGCCATCTTCCTGTGTTCTCTACCATCCTGAGGAAGTGAGGCAGAGGCGGCACCTGTACATGTTTGACAATGGGAGATTTATTGACTTTTTATTTCAAAGGCAGTCAGAGTAAGAGAGAGAGACAGTCTTCTCATCTGCTGGTTGCTCCCAAATGACTGCAACAGCCAGTGCTGGGCAAGCCAAAGCCAGGCGCCAGGAGCTCCACCCAGGTTTCCTGCCTGGAGCTGGGGGCCCAGGCACGCGGGCCACCCTCTGCTGTCTTCCCAAGCGCATTAGCAAGGAGCTGGATTGGAAGCAGAGCAGCCAGCAGTCGGATGCCGGCGTTGCAGGCAGTGGCTTAACCCACTGTACCACAACGCCGCCCCTCAGGTGCTCTCTAGAGGTAATTGGTCGTCCTTTTTGCCTCGCCGTGTGTGGTGGCCTCATACGGCAAAGCAGCATTTGTCTTCCATGAGGCCGATGGCTCCCCACAAGCAGCTGCTATCCCAGCGAGGAGGAGGAAGTCGGAGCTGCCACGGGCTCCCTGGTTGGCACACAGTAGGAAGGCAATAGGGCGTCTTCATTAAGAGCAGATTTTGCAGGTGAAGGGATCTAGGTTGGAATCCAGCAAGCTACTGTGTGCTGTCCTCCGCAGTAAAACAGTCACGCCACACCTCGCTGCTGTGTAGTGGGTTAAGCCTCCGCCTGTGGCACTGGTGTCGCATGTGGGCACCAGTTCGTGTCCTGGCTGCTCCTCTCTGATCCAGCTCTCTGCTAATAGCCTGGAAACAGTGGAAGATGGCCCAAGTGTTTGGGCCGCTGTACCGAAAGACGTTCCTGGCTCCTGGTTTCGGATTGGCCCAGCTCCGTTCGTTGCAGCCATTTGGGGAGTGAACCAGTGGGTGGAAGGCCAACCTCTCTGTCTCTCCCTCTCTCTGTAACTCTGC